GTTCACTGACAGTCGGTCATGTCAGCTGTGTGTGGCTCCACGTTGGATGCGTTCACGGACAGTCGGATGTTTCGGACTGGAGCTGACAGGAAGTGCAGCGTCAGGCGTTGTGTACAGCTGCTCTGTCTGTTTATCTGAAAGCAGCGGTGACCTTTGACCTTCTGGCAGTTCAGACTGAGTCAGCTCGTTCTCCGACCCCCCCCCCCCCCCCCCAAGTGTTTCTGGAAGCGTCCAGCCAGTTGACGATACCTGTGGTTGATGTATCAGCTGCTGGCTCAGGGACACACACACCTGCTGCTCACCTGGACACGTGAGGAGTGGACGTGCACGTGCACGCTCCGGCGCTCTGCCGTGCCTTTCCTCAGGAGACTGATAGAACCTGTAGCCCCCAGTTCAGTGTTTTTAAAGAACTCTTCTGTTATTTGTTGGTGTCCAAACTCTTTTAAATGTTTTTAAAAACACATTGAAGTTAATCAATTATTATTTTATTAATTTCAAATCATAAACTGACTTTTTTAAATTTTAATTGTTGTATATTAGCTGATTTCTAACGATGGTTACTGACCAGATAAAACTCATATTGGTCAAGTTCTAGATTATTATTATTATTTTATAGTTTTATTTCTTCAGAAGAGCTTTTAGGGCTGCCGTCCTGACAGACATAAAGCTGGAACTAAACTGGGCGTTTCCTGTAAACCATTAAAACCAGTAATGTTTATTAGTTCAACTTGTCAGCCTTAATAAAAATAAAAACGTGCATCTTCATTATTTTTCTGTTAGAAATAAATTCTGCTGGTTAAATGTCTTAATTTGAGTTTGTTGATGAATTAACTCGTTTTTATTTCTCAGGATCTTTGGAGCATCTGAGAAGACGCGACTGTGAGGAGGGGAGGAACCTCGGGGGAGGCGCTCCTCGTCTCACCCGGCTTGCTTACCCATCAGGGTTGCTAGGAGACAGAGGGAGGACATCTCCAGGTCGATGCTCTCCTGGAGCTCCCGGCCGCTCGTCCTGCCGGGCGTCGCGGCGTCGCTCTTCGCCGAGTGCAGGGAGGAGAGCGAGCTGGACGCTCCGGTTGTGGAGGTGGCGGGGTCCTTGTCCTCGGGGCCCCTCAGGATCTCCACCGTCACCCTGTCGCCGTGCTGCAGCGCCACGGGCTCGTTCTCCTTGCCGTCCTTCGGGGGGAGCAGCTCCTTGGGCGGGAAGCCGTAGCGGATGCTCTGCTGCGGGGGCGGCACGCCGAGCTGCTTGGAGATGCTGCTCTGCAGGTCGGAGAAGGTGGAGTGGGCCGGCAGGGTCAGCATGGCCTGCCGGCCGTCGCCGGTGGTCACTCGGATCTTTTTCTCCTTAATGGAGGAGGGGGAGGAGGATTTGGTGGGGGTGGCCGGAGCTGAGGAGGAAGAGGTTTCTGGAGAGCCACCAGGGGAAGAGGTCCGGCCTGGATCTTTCTGATCCTGCTTTAGTTTTTGGGTCTGTCTCTTCTGGGTGACCAGGGCCTGCTCACTGATGCTCTGCTGGACGCTGCGCTCCGCTCGGCTCATCGTCAGCTCCTCCTTGTGGAGCGTCTTCGCCTTCTGACCCGTCAGGATGATCTTAGTGGGCGGCTGCGGGTCCACCGCAGGCTGGGGCTCTGAGGTCTCGTGGAGGCGCTGGGCGTGAGCCCCGTCGATGGAAACCGGGTTGTACTCGTCCGGGTTTTTCTTGGCCGTGTGGTGCAGGATGGTGTTGACCACTTTCTGCACCAGAATCTCGCTGCCGAACTCCCCAGGGAAGTGCTTGGTGACCAGCTTCATGGCCACATCGTACACGTTGCTGTTCAGCACCGGCTCCGTCTCGTACTGGAACCAGTACACAGTCTCTCGCACCACCCGCCCCCCCCACTCCAGCGTGATGGGGAAGGCTTCGGGCAGGTTGTCGTACTCCTTCCCCTCCCAGTAGTGCTTGAATCCACAACCGCACTTCCCCCCCTGGGACCGGGTGTTGGTTCTGTCCCCGTCCAGGTAAACCACCGACCCGTTTCCCCGGATGTGGCGGACCGACGTCCCGTGACACCAGTTGCAGGTGTTGAGGGCGCTGAGCTTGTAGTCCGGGAGGAGGACGTCCCTCTGCGGGTCGTAGGAGCACACCACGTTGTTGAGGGGGAAGCTGTAGTTCTTGTCGGGCCGGAGTTGACCGTGTGTGGATTTGGCCAAGTTGTAGAGCTTTCCGCCTGGAACCAGCCACTCGGGCGGGACGTGCAGCTCAGAGAGAGCGCCGCAGATCAGGCAGCGGTGAAGCCTGTTCTCCATCACGGACTTCTTGGCGGCTTCCGTCACCTCCTCAGGTTGGACGCCGATCACTCCGGTGCGTCGGTAGACATACTGGTGCACGTCGGCCACCAGAGACGGGTGGATGCTGTGCTTCTCCATGAACACCTCCTCCATGGCGTTGACCAGCCTCATGAGGTATTTATCCTGCAGGCTGCGGTCACCGCCGATCACGCAGCTCCCGTCTGGTTCCAGCTTGATGTACTTCTTGATGAGCTCCTGAGGGACCCCCCAAGCCTTCGGCAGCAGGCGGGACGGCAGCTTGGGCAGCACCGTGTTTTTGACTCCCACTAGAGGAACGTAGTGGTTCCTGCCGGAGCTGCTCCAGGCGATGCAGATGGGTTTGTTGAGCTTCCCGTCTTTGCCCCTGCACTGCTCCTCAGGCACCAGCCCGGGCAGGAAGGTGGCCGAATAGTCCCCAGAGCTCCTCATCCCGCTCAGGGAGTCCAGCAGGATTATGGGCCGGTGAAGGACGTTGGCTAAACCAAATATGTGGATGTTGCGCAGTCCGAGGGGCACGCCTTCAGGCGGGATGAAGAGGGGGTCGCACTCGTTGATGATGTCCTCCCACTCCACAGCATCGATAAAATCCTGGAACAGGGCTTTGTAGCGGCTCAGGTTCTGCTTAAAGTTTTGCTTGAGGTTTTCTCTTAAGGCATGCCAAAACAGTTCCCGTCCCACCAGAGCTCTGGACACAGCGTGGACCAGGCAGTGCCCGTCTCCGTCCACATGGACAGGAATGAGACACTCCCTGCTGCCGTTGGCCTTCTTGAGCTCCTCCAGGGTGTCGTGGAGGTAGATGAGGCTCCCGGACCGGTCCTTACCGTAGCCCATGGTGGTGACATGGTCTGGCTCGATCAGGAAGGCTCTGTCCCCCAGGAGGGAGCAGTCAAAGATGTCCCCCTGGTTCATGTCCTTCAGCAGTTTGGCCTTGCCTGTTTGTTTGTCCATGCCGTACCTGGTGAGCACCGGGGACAGCAGCTTGCAGTGATAGTTGGACAGCCCCATCACCTTCACCAGCTCCGTCCCCTTCTTCGGGGCCCCGGTGACGCCGAGCAGGGCGTTCCTGAGCAGATTGTGGAGCACCACATCTGGATCGGTCACCTCCTCCACGTTCAGCAGGTTCCTCTGCTCGTGGCGCTGGCCGCACTCCGTGCACTCGATGCTAATGGAGCCGTAAGCAGGGAAGAAGAGCCTCGCCTGACATTTCGGGTCTGGGCAGGTACCAGACAAGATGCGCTTGTCTTTTTTCTTTGAGCTCTGTAGCAGCGACATTTCCGGGCAGAAAAGCTGAAAACGTCCCTCAGCTTTAAAGAACCATGATAATTGTCGCTCCGAGAGGCTGTCAGGAGAGCTCCCGCCGCGCTACCCAACACTATTTTACAGAATAACACAAGAACAACACGGAAGCGGCTGCTGTTTCCCTTTAGCAACTCATCGTTGCTAAACGTACCAACGTAAGGTTTGGATTGTGGGAAATGTAGTTTTCTGCAAGGCATATTAAAAAAAAATTACACACTCCTTTCAAAGTGCTAGATTTTGTTTCATTATTGTAACACACTGACTTAAAACAAAATTAATAGACAACATATAATCATTACTAAAGACTTGCTTAAAAACAATCTATAGGTGTGTAGTTGACATAACTACATGTCCCAAGAGGCATCGCGATACAACGACGTTGACGTTGTGTCAGGAAGTCAGTTGAGCTGAGCGTCCTGGTAGTTTGGAAAGAAATAAACAAATTATTCCAAAGTGTTTAAATGATTCAGTCCCGAAAACACATTTTAGACATATTTATATCAGACACAGCCAGCAGGAGAGCACGCTGTTGGAATGGGTGTGGTTTATTGTTTAAATTTGGATTATTTGTTTACGATAACAGGAGTTTCCCGGATAGCTTAGCCCGCTAAATCATTAGCTCTCACCAAACTCCATTCAGAAATATGTGCATTTTATGATTCACGGATTTAGACATTGTAAAACACTATTTTGGACAGCTCTTAGATATTTTTTCATAGTTCTCGTTAATTCGTCATAATATTTGGTCCATTAAAATGCAGTTAATTTGGACCAAATATGAAAAGTAAAGTTGATTTGTTGCCACATTGTGTTGATTGTGCTTCATTTCTAAACTATAATTTTGTATTGTTTAAATTTTTGCAGTCAAATATTTAGTTTTTGTTTAGACAATTTGATAATATTTCAAAAATGTTAAACCTGATTTTAAAAGTAAGAACTGAAGCAAAATTAGCTTAAATTACACAATCAATTTCTTTTAATTTCCTCTTTCCTTGTTAAGATTGGACTTCGTTATTATTCATGTAATTTTAGTATTTTGTTTGTGGTTTTGAAACCATCATTTGAAATAATAGTCATATAAGCAGAAGCTGTAAAACCAGCCGATCATTTTTAAATATAGTCATTTGGCGTCCACTGATAATCAACAATGTTGTCCATCCATCCATCCATCTATCATCCATCCATCCATCTATCATCCATCCATCT